TTTTGTAATTTAATGCATTTCACATCAACACACTGTAAAAATTGAATAATGGGTCTTGTAATTTTCATTAAAAAAAATCAAGGTGATAATTAAAAATAGTGTGTATATTTTATTAAAGAAATTGTGGTTCAGTGTTTTATAGAAAATATTGAGATCTTTTCACTAATAAAACCAAGAGATATGTTTTCCTCATTTTTTAAGAACACTTAAGCAGTCTTGAGGCTTGAATTGAGGAACTGATTAAACTGAAAAATATTAAGGAAAGACGGCTACCTATATATTTTAAGTGAATTAGCTCAATTTTGTTTTATTTTAGTGGTGATTGTTAGTTCCCAGCATGCTTTGCACATGGCTGCATGTAGAGTAAATATTGAAATTAAGTGCTATTTTATGTGTTTTTCAGTGAAGGGAAACATCTATTAATGTTTAATGTTCAGATATGTTTGACATTTGAAAGAGTTTCTCTTATGTTGAAGTTTTTGACGTTATAATTGTGCAGAAGAGTGGAGCTTATGGTTATGGATAACTGCATACTAACACTGTGAGGCATGATGCTTTGTTCAATAAGCAGTAGCTTTGCTAATGCTAGTGCAGTATTTTTCAGCATTTATCAAGTATTTTCCTACTTGAGCTGTGTGGCTGTATACAGTCTTTTAATTGGACAAAATAACTCAAAGTCAAATACAAACAGGCCTTACTCAAAATCACAGACTTTTGGGAATCAACTGAAAATAAACGAGTACATTTCTCTAATAATATTAATTTCATTGTATCATAGATTAAATAATTTAGGAGATTTTTACATTATTTATTCAGGTAGATTCTATTAAAAAATCAAGCCTTAAAAACTACTCAAAATATTATGTGTAATCTTGTTACCATCATTTTTTAGAGAACTCATACCATTCTTTTCAGTGCATAATCTGATCACAAAAAAAGGGAAAAAAGTTCAAAGTTTTAGTTTGTGCAAATATTCAGAACAGCAGTTTTGTGTTGTGAGTGAATGAACAACCTTCAGTGTGAACAGTGTGAGGAACTGCTGCAACAGAAAAGATCTCAGATTAAATCATATTAGAGTAAAAACTGAACTTTCGCATATAATGATTACAAACATCAGTGTTTATTTCTAGATTACATCACTGTCAGAAAATAATACTTTTATTGAAACATTTAACACAGATTTAATATTCTTTAATAAGCAAAGCAAAAATATACTTAACCTACATGTTTCTGTCTCTCTGGTGGAATCATGAACAGAGACTGTTGTGAAAACAGCTGATTGAGTGAACATTGTGTCAGAGTGGGATGTGATACGACAGACATGAAACTATGCAGATACAGTATGAAGTAAATCGATTAGTAGCCATGTTGAAAAAAGCAGCATAGTCATGAACCACCATGTCATTGTTAAGTTCTCTGACTGCTACCGCTTTACTATGTATGAATAAACGTTGAAAATGGACCCCAGCTGTATTTGAACTTTTGAATCCAACATATTCATTCTACACAATGACTTTTATTATTGAAGAAGAGTGGATGAACTTACCCATGGTTTCCTTTGTCATGCTGTTTGTCTTGGATTGGAGGTCTACTAATATAAACTAACAAATTGCAAGGGAAATCAGCTTTCAGAAGGGAATCGTTTCTCAAACTGAATCCAGCATAAATAGAAAATGTGTTATTAGTAACTTACCAGTTTTACCGCGAGTTGTGGTTTCAGAAGTGGCCATTACAGCTAAAGCTTTTGAAAAGATAATAAAATAGAATGTTGAGAAAAATATACATAATTCCTAAACAAATAGTAACCATGTTGAAAGCCCCCCAGCATAATCATTTTTTGCACAAAAATGTTGCTGCTCATCTGGAACATCTACCTGCAGGCATGAGACTTGCCTTTGTTGAATTCTCTGTGTGTTTTCTGATTTCTGCTTACCTTTAGGAACTACCACTATGAGATACTGATCACAAACTTTGAATATGAATCCCAGCTATATTTTTGAATGTCTTTTGAATCCAACATAATAATTTCACACTTGACTTGATTGTGTAAAAGAATGATTAACATTTGAGGACATTCAAGGTGAAGTAAAAATAAGGCCTTTTTGATTTACAAACTCAACCACTCACAGGTTTTCATGGCTGTTGTAGTACTTTGTTCAGTGGTGGGTGGTGTTGAAACTGCAGAGACAATTTATCAGCATTACAGGGTGTCAGTTTATATTATTTGTAAACTTTAAAGCAAAGTTTGTTTGTTGAAGGTACAGGTCCTCTAAATATAAAAAATACCATATGTCACATACTGATGATGTAACTTGAGGGATTGGTGATTATTAAATGGGATGTTTTTAAAAAGGATGTTTTTGTAAATTATTTTAGAGAGATATTTGGACAGAGCTCACAAAATCACAGTCATCTTTACTAACACTCATGAAGGGTTTCTGAAGTGCACCTGAAGAGAATTAAACCAAAGTTATAAAAAAACATTGTGGTAACAGTTTCTAACAGTAGTGAAATTTCTCACCTAGAACCATCACTGTGGCAGGAGGAGAATGACGTGATGGTTTATCAATCCCCTGTATTGTGTAGTAACAGTAAATGTCGAGTGATCCAGGTGATGTTACAGCTGCCCATCTGAACACTTCAGCACCAGTGAGATCCAGCTCACATCTCCAAGTGGTTTTTACATTCTTCTCCTCACTGTTTGTGTGGAAATAACGGTGCTTCACTGTAACATCTGCTGGCGTCTCACAGCTGGTCTTCACTGAGCTGGACTCTCTTATGACATCTGGAGATACTTATAGGAGATTCTGCAACAACACGAAACAGATCACTACATTACCATCTTCTTGACAATGTTTACAAGTACAATAATATTACATTATTCACGTTTTGTGTTTTAAAAAAATCTAAAAAAAGCACTCAAGTCGAAATTCAAATTCCTGGGCCTACACATAGTCACTTCTATTCTTTAGTGAAGATAGCCCAACAGCACATGTATTTTCTAAAGAAGCTAACAAGAGCAGGCATAACCTCTCCATCCTCACTGGTTTCTACAGATGTGTTATTGAGAGCGTACTAACCAGCTGTCACTGTCCAACCCAGGTCCTTTAGAAAAACATTTTTCTAAAGATAACATTTTTTTGGTTACACTTTATTTTAAGGTGTCCTTGTTACAGTGTAATTATACGTTTAAGTACAGAGTAATATTAATTAACTACATGTACTTACTATGTTAGGTTTAGGATTAGGGTTTGGTTTAGGTTTACTTGCATGTAATTATGCATAATTTATTGTTATTATAGTAAGTACATGTAACACGTGTAACAAAGACAACTAAAATAAAGTGTTACCTTGTTTTTCAACATTTTTGCAAAACTCAAAAAAATTGATCTATACATACAAATTCATCTCACTTTTTTTCTTTAAAACTATCTGTCAGGTTAGAGTCGGGTTTAGTGTAGGTGGTACATTATTTTCAAAAGTGATAGAGCGATAACCTTAGAGCCATTGCCATGATATGTGCATGAACCAGCATAACAAAATGTTGGCACAGCTGTTTATTTGTTTCGGATAAAACTGAAAAATGCTTTTTAGCGCCACTGAAAGGATTGTCACCATCATAATTTTAATAGTGCACTACAGAGCAAGACTGACCTACCAACAAAAGATGTAACAATGGCCTCATAATTTTCTATTACAGACCTTATGTGCAATACTTTATGTATTATTATTTACTTAATATTAGTAATTACTGTATATGTATTAATTCACTTACAAATCAGTCATATCACACTGCCGCTACACTTTCTGAATACTGTATAATACCTACTGATTTAACTGTCAGTTGTGTTTTTACTGTGTCCCTTGTAGTATTGTCTGTATTTATTGTTCATATTTATTGTTGTCTTTTTAGCCCTTGTTACTGTCTGCTACAAAACACTGTGTTTCATTTTTATCCTTTGTCATAAAATATGATCAAATAAAAATTAATTTGTCTTACTACAGTAATAGTCTTTATAGTAAAATGAATATGTCAGGTAGTAGTTCATGTGTTTCTATTATCTGTTTTATTAAAACTTTACACATAACAATCAGACATGCTGAAATATTTTAGACAATAAAACTTTGTTACCTATAAATGTGGACATTATTTAAGAAGATAAACAGCAGAGATCACTTACTGTAAGACTGAATCTCCACAAAGAGTAGAAAAACTATGATGAACAACTCCATTACAGAGAGAAAAGAGACAGAATGAGTCTTACACAATGGGTGAATTAGGAAGTAGCGCATCAGACCACAGAAACCTTACAACATACTCTGCATTTTCATGCAGATGAAAGTATAGATCATGATTTACATTTACAGCCATATGCAATGTAACATTTACATACAGTCATAGAGCATGAACAATAATATCTAATATAATAGTTTTAGAGGCCTGAAACATTTAAAATAAAATACATTTTAAAAGATAAATGTTAAATTCTACTTTAAGTTTGAGGATGATTCTTAAAACATATACTATACAGATACTATACTATACATATACTATACTAAACATATGTATACTATACATATACATATACTATACTATACAGAGTACACACCCATTCAGAATTACTAACACAACAAAATACACATTAAAAAAAAAAAAAAAAGGATAAATATGGGGGACAAAAAAATTCAACAAATTCATAGTTCCATACATTTCAAAAATATTTTTAAACAATTTATTAATTTGAGTTAATATGAAAAACAAAATCAACAAATTATGTTGCATAAATTTCACTTAATGAATTTATGATTAAAATGATTAATAATACACATTTTTTAAAACGAGTTATTTGAAAATTGCATGAATTTGAAAAACAAAATGAGCATTTCTTAATTCAAACAATTTCACTTAAGGTTTGATTATTAAAAAATATATTTGTTTTTAAATAAGATATTATTTGGATCAGAAAAAGCAGCAACATCAGTGATGACAGTGAGTGCTTGTGTCTTTTGCTTAGAGTGTCTGATGCCCAAATGTGCATAAATACTACTTGATTACTTTTTTATTACTAACTTTAGTGAGACACTTCATTGAACCAAGAGTTGCAGTATGCTATCATAATGTCAGGCCCCATTGGATGTTTTGACCTGCCGTTCAGTCTGTATTGCACATAGCATCATGTAGGAAGGATGATGCTTCTTGGAAACAATCATAACATAAAAAGGCCATTTATTAAAGCTGAATACACACGGGAATGAATGATTTACTAAAAACAGGATGTGAATCATTATTCTCTCTTCCATCTCTGATGTAATCGGCTGGATTTTGTGGGAGGAGAAGCTAACGTCACATGATGGACCTTGAAAAAACTGATTTAAGCAGTTTTTAAATACAACAAACTTATAAGAAAAAAACATTTGGTTCAAACCTTCAGATGGTTCAATTTCTTTAGAAAATACGTAAAATATTTCATTTATCATTACAATTTTAGTTCAGCTCTTATTGAATGCCCAAGCTCCACTAGTGGTACTGTACTAGTGGGTTTGCCAGAGAAGATGCTCTGGATATTCGCTGAGGTCACAGTATATTCCACACCAAACACTGAATAATAAAAAAATAAACACCTACTGTTTTTGTCTGAAAGTAAATACACTTTATTTATAGTCGCTATACATAATGAACACAGACATGAGATTCATCAGTGCATCTTCACCAAACTGTACACGTGATCTTCTGCGTTTGAGTGAACTGGTTTGTCAGGGATCATGGAGTACAGGTGATAAACATTCTTAAGGAAGAAGAAAGATTATTAAGACACAAGTAAATGTGTTTGTATTCTGTTCATGATGGACAGTTATGTATTTGGTGTGTGACATTGTTCAAACATACCTCATTTTCCTCTGGATTTCCCTGTTTCTGTTGTTTATTGACCAAAACATCTGTAATGCAATACAAAGGCATTAAACGCGTTGACCTTGATGAACAAGCTCTTTGTCATAAAACTTTCATGTATTTTTAGCTTTGACACAGCAGAATAATCTCTCTGAATAATTCTATGCTTCAGTGTTGTGATGAATTTAATATTTGTCCAACTTCCTCCATATTAGCTCAGCATGATTAGAAGGCTATCTCACCTTCTAAATGTAGACACCAAACATTTTGTTTTTGGAATACAGAGGAAGTTTTAAGTTGTGAAACTACAGTTTGTTTTCATAGTAGGCCTATATTAACAACTCTTATGTGAACAAAACAAAAATTTGATTCCTCATAATATGACCACTTTAATGAGAGAAAGATGTCATTACCTGATGGCTGGTAAACTGAATTTACATACATAATGAAAGAGTGAGTGTCTGTGGGATCTGCTGTGCTCTCCTGATTTGACTCTGGGTGTTCGAGGCCTTTGAAAGAACAGCATGATGAAGAGGGTCAAACTGAGTCAATAGAAAACTATACAAAACAAGAAGACAAATGTAAAATGGCTTCCCCGAAAAAGCTTCAAATTGTATGCATAACGTTAGATTTGATGACAGTGACACCAAACACAATCAATGCATGTCTTGATACCAGACACCATGACTGAATGAGAGCATTTGCAAAATAGATTGAAACAAATGGGAAGATATCCGTATAATTATACTTGGAATATAGAACTTAAGTCTCAATACAAGTCTGATGTATGTATAAATGACCACAAGCTCCTCACGTTCAATTTGATTCCTCCTTCTTTGCAAACTGTGAAAGAACGTGTTATCCGTTTTAGGAAAATCAGGGATATTGATCTTGACCATCTTAGTTGTACAATTGGTGACTTACCAGTTGTGGCCTCTGTTGACCAATATAATGCTGTTTTTACATCTATTCTGCAGAGTTTGCCCCTCTGAAAAAACGTGTTGTTTCTTTTAAGAAATCATCTCCATGGTATACATCTGAGTTATGCCAAATGAAAGCTACAGGCAGGCAGTTAGAGCGAAATGCAAAAAATCTGGCCTAACAGTTCATAGATCAATGTTTGATCACATCAGAATGAGTATCACAATGCTCTAAAAGCTGCAAAACTGGCATATTATTCTACAATTATTAGTAGCGACGTCCCTAATCCCAGAGTTATGTTTAGAACTGTCAACAATCTTATTAAACCTCCTAGTAACATTAACTGTTCCACTGAGCAGTGTAACAAGTTTTCATCTAAAATTGAGAATCTATAAAATGTTATTGCCTGTGATCATGCTTCTGAATTTGCTGAGTTGCATCCTCCAAATTTCCCTGATTTTGTTTTCTCAAGTTTCAATGCTGTAGATTCTGATTTCATTTCTAACCTTGTTTTGTCAATGAACTCAACTACTTGTATACTTGATCCCTTTCCCTACTGTGTTGAAAAACTGTTTGTCTGTTATTGTACCCCACATCACTGCTATTGTCAATGCCTCACTCAGTGTAGGGATTGTTTCTCCTGCTTTAAAAATGGCAGCAGTTACACCATTTCTTAAAAATCCTGGGAGTTATATTGCTGAGATGTCCAATTATCGGCCAATCTCAAATTTACCATTCCTGGCAAAAGTCCTTGATCGTGTGGTTGTTACCCAAATCCAAACTCATCTTTATACGAATAACCTACTAGAGACTTTTCAATCTGGGTTTAGGTCTGGACACAGTACGGAGACTGCTCTAGTTAGTGTCTTGAATGACCTTCTTGTTATAGCTGATTCTAGGGCTTGTGGCATTTTGGTTCTGTTAGATTTTAGTGCTGCATTCGATACGATATGTCACAGCATATTACTGGCCTACATATGTGGATTGTTCTGTGTTGAATTGGTTTAAGTCTTACCTTTCAGATCGCTCTTAGTTTGTTTACCTGGGTAGTAGATCTCAGACTGTGCCCTTGTGTCAGGGTGTCCCTCAGGGGTCAGTTCTGGGTCCTGTTTTATTTAGTGTTTATATGCTGCCTCTTGGGCAGATTATTCAGAAGTATGACCTGGACTATCATTGTTACGTGGACGACACTCAGCCTGATTCCACTTCTTCCTTTTCGACTCTCTCTGCCTGTTTGCTGGAAATCAAGGCATGGATGAAACAACTTTCTTAAGCTAAATTGTTCTAAAACTGACATTTTATTAATTGGGACTCCATCTAATGTTAATAAATGTAGTGATTTTAAACTTTCAGTTGACAATACCCAAATATCTCCTTCTGCCCAGGTGTGTAATTTAGGCGTGATTTTTGATGCTCAGCTGATTTTAATTCTCATTTTAAAAACATAACTAAAGTTGCTCATTCCATCTTCATAACATGTTTGCATTAGACCCTTTCTTTCTAGGCCTGATGCTGAGAGGCTTATTCATGCCTTCATCACATCATGGCTCGATGGCAAATCATGGCTCATCATAATTCTCTCTTTGCGGGTTTACCAGCAAGTTCCGTTAAGAGGTTGCAATATATACAAAACTTAGCTGTGTGTTTTGACTTACACATCCTCACGTCACATTACCCCAGTGCTCCAGCAACTTCATTGTCTCCAGGTTCAATCACGTATTGATTTTAAAATTCTGATTTGAACCTATAAAGCAGTGATGGGTTGGCTCCAGATTACATTTGTGACTTGGTTACTCTTTCCACTCCCTCTCGCTCTCTCCGCTCTGCTGGTTGTCTCCCTCTTTATCAGCCTCGTTGTAAATAAAAAACCATGGGGGGGCTTCTCCTCTAATGTGCCTAAGTTATGGAGCGCATTACCTGCGTTTATTAGGAAAGCTGCTTCCTTGATTTGTTTTAAGAAACTTCTTAAGACACATCTTTTTAGTAAAGTTTCTAATTTAAGATTTATTATTGCGAATCTATTTTTCATATTATGTATTTTTGGTTTGATTTGGTATTTTGTTTTGTACATTTAGATCTTTGAGTTTGAGAAAGGTGCATTATAAATAAAATGTATTATTATTATTATTATTATTGTTATTGTAAGATCCTTTATGCTGAGTTTTTTTTTTTATTATGGCCTGAACTGTTCCTTTAAAAGAAGACATGGTTAATAATGCTGATCTGCTGAAGACCTGAAAGAGGAAATGGTACCAGACACCGCGGTCACTGCACAGCGTTTCTAACCTTTACCTCACATGGTGATATCTGTTAGCAACTATGCTTTTAATTTATCTGAGATCATTCCCTGAGAATGATGTTCTCTTACCTCCAGATATGGGCTGAGATGTTTCTGGTACAGAAGTGATCAGGGAATATATCTCTGCAGATCCAGAACCACTCTAAATGACATAATCAATAAATTTTATATATGTATAAATTTTATGTATGTACATAAAATTGTAAATGCACATATACTCACCATACTAATTCCTTGACTGGGCACTTCCATTTTTATTGATCTAATTTAGCAAAGAATCAAATTTAGCTCTTTATGGCATCTTTTCATACATGTATATATCAGATTAGAAGCTAAACATTTACACATTTAGCTCCTCGACTACAAAAATATTTTTTATGAAAAATAAATATTTAGAACAATATATATCACAGACTACTGAATTGAATGCATGAAAAAAAACTTACAGTTTTCTTCTTTTTTGACCTAGAAAACAATGAGTTACTGCATTATATGTTTAATTCTAGCTTGCATTATAAATTCTATATTGAACAGCATTAAGCTCAGTATCTATCCAACAGAATGTACAATGAGCCTTATTCATGGCTTAAATTTTCATTTTCAGCATACAGTATGTATTATAATGATATTTCACAAGTTTGTTTGCTCATATTGACAGGTAATCTTTAAACTATTAAATATTAAACTTATTTGCCTGGTTTCTGCAGTGGAGAAGCTTGAGGATAAAAAGATCACATAACATTCTTGTACACAATTCACATATATTGTAATTCATGGGCGGGGTTATGTTAATTGTGAATGAGCGTGCATGCACACTATTTAAAAATTTTGAATTCATTTAGATACACACGTTTGTGAATCCGTTTTTTACATACCGATTACTCTAAATGTACTTATATGTTTATGAAAGATTGATGAATGAGGCCCAAAGAGTGTACATTTGTAAACTTTACTTACTTGCAAACCGGCACAGACAGATGAGTCCTGTGAGTACAGACAAGAATACAGCAACACCAGTGGAAACCAGCACTAAAAACCATGTGCCTGTGTCAAAACAAAACCAACAATTCAGTCCATGTTTATGTGTATTATGATGTTTAATGTGTTCTTTAGATATATCAGTCCACCTGACAATATAAGTGATACACAAAATAGCTGAGAAAATGTATATTTGTTTTACTTTTGTTGTGTGCATGGAAAGAAGTAAACGTTTTACAGAGATTTGAAATGGAATCAAATTATCCAATCAATTAAAATATGGAAGCAAAGACTCTATAATAATATTAAAACCTGTTTGTGGATCTGTAGGATGAGTCATTGAAGTGTGAACACTAGAAACAGCTGCAACAGAAAAAAAAAACTCAAATGAAATCATAGGCTAATTGACTAACACATGGTGAACATACACATCAAGGTTTCAGAGTTTAATGAATTCATGGTAAAATAAAAAATCGTAATATTGCAGATTGCTAATATTTAGAAAAGATAGAAAAAGTTACCTGTTCTGGGGGATGCTGTTGTGAAAGTGACAGCCATTGTTGCTGAAATTGAAATGGTAAAATAATTAGCTATATGAATAAACTTTTATTTTAATTTTTTTGGTCAGGTACAAGTTTTAATTGTGCACTAAACTTTACTCAAATGTGTGTATTTGCGAATCTTTTTGAGTGGATGCTTCTGTTGAAACTGCAGTGAGAACATCTTAAGTTATATTTAACATAAAAACAACAAACTTTTTATGTCTGCAAGCCAGAGCTAAAATAATTAGTAACATTTTATTAAATCTAGGTAACTTCCCCCAAAAATATAAATAAATAAGCAAACATATTGGGTGAAACACAGAATGTTCCAGTGTGATTTAACATTTTGTTCAGATATCTTTTTAGAGCACTCAACTAGAAAGTCTGTTAGTGTGTGATCCTCAGTCATTTAGTGTATGATGGCCAGTTTTCCTCTATAACTATTTACAAAGTCGGCAAGTGTATGATGTCTGGTGTTTAAAAATTGGTTCAGATTTTAAAAGTCGTGTAGTGCATTCCATCCTTAAGTACTTACTATGTTCTGATATTCTACTGTTACCAGGCAAAGTGGAGTTTGTAATGGAAACTGCAGAAAAAAACAGCATATAGTTATAGTCTTATAACAGAACATTAATAAAAATATACATAATTCATAAACAAATATTAACCATGTTGAAAACACCATAATCATGAGTCTCCAACATCCATGAATTCAATATATGAATCCAACATTAATTTTACAAGGAAGAGTGGATGAACTTACTCATCGTTTCTTTTGTTGTACTTGTTGACAGGTTTGTCTTGGAATGGAGGTCTGATAATAAAAATAAATATCGCAAAGGGAATCACTTTTCAGAAGGGAATTGTTTTTCCAATTTAAAAATAATGGAATAACCAGAAAATGTGTTATCAGGAACTTACCAGTTGTAGTGTATGTTAGGGTTTCAGAAGTGGACATTACAGTTACAGCTGTTGAAAAGACATTGTGAAATGTGTGGTGATGCACAGTATATACATATTTAATAAACAACAATGAACCTGAAAGAATAATTGACATTTTAAGGACATTAAGAGTAGAGTAATAATTATTTGCAAACTTTAACATAACGTTTTTGTTGTTGTTGTGCACGGTACAGGTCCTTCAAATAAATATAAATAAAATAATGTATGTCACATACGGCTGGTGTAACTTGACATCCCCTCATCCATATTGGTTAACATGAGTGTATTAATAAAAAAAGGTACACTGGACTGTTACTGTCAGTGGATCAGAGTGAGGAGACCGTTTTTGAATTTCTCTTTTTGAACCTCTCTTCTTTACAGTGTAGAAACAAGTTATTTCCACAGAGGAAGTCTGACCTCCAAACCAAATACTGATCTGAGATCCAATGAGTGAGAGTTGACATCACGAACTCACATCTCTGTATTCTGATTTTCATTATTACAGTTCAGCGGAACTGGGTCTGTTTTCAGAATAACTGACAACTTGGCCTGACAAAGACCTAATGAATGCATATGATGACACATGCCATGAACACAATGGCCACACAGCTGTGCTTAAGAATCCGCTCAACAGCGCTCAAATGCTAGCAGGAAGTGGACATTTTTTAAATTTCAGTACCGACTGGTACCAAAGTCGGTACTTTTGACAACACTACTGTGCATCGTGAAATTGCTTGCTTGGAATGCCATTCATGAATCTCTCTGTGACAACACATCTCTCTCTGACATGTACGTGCAGTGGGCTGTGTGTAAAGCATTTTCTTCTGCTTATTCTGAAAATGGTCCGCTTGGTTCGGGCTACGCAACATGCTAATTCATATACTTACACCCATCATGTCCACTAGCCTGTGGTTGAAAGAATGGGCCTCCAAAGTATTTTCTTCCATTGTGACAACTCCACAGCAGTCTATTACTTCAACAAATGCAAATCATGTTCTGCCGAACTAATGCTGTTCCTCAGTTGGTTAATCTGGTCTTCTGCTTACATTATAATTAAAGCAGAATTTACAGCAGGACTTAAAATCCCCTCCTCACTTTCACCAGGACTATCACCCAACAAATCTTCAATATGTCACTGTCGCAGCAGCGACATTTTCCACCACTCTCAAATCAACCTAAATGTTATTTCTCTGCCACTCATGAATCATCGAGGGGTTAGAAATCTAACTTTTGTAGTGGCAATTCACTGCTGTGACAGTGAAGTAATAAGTGATATGTCAAGACTGGATGGGCAGGCGAACTCGTGAATTGTTACTAAAAATTTCATTGTAGGCCTACATTTCTGTACATGACATTTATATATTCTCTTTATATTCTGTATGAAATTGTAATGGTTAGGTTTTAAGTTAGGGTTATGGGATCTAAAATGGTTAAAATCTATAAAATGGTTAAAATGCAATGATACAAATATCTTTATGATATAAAATATTCTTAAATATTTTGTTACTTTAGCTGTAAATGTTTAACAATTGTTTTCATTTTAGATGGTGTCAATACATACACTGTACGTTTCAGCATTTATCCAAATGTACAAAAAAATGTGTTTTTTAACCTGTAAATGTTGTTAATACCTACATACAAACAATGAAACCAGGCTGAAATTTCTCACCTAGAACCATCACTGTGGCAGGAGGAGAATGACGTGATGGTTTATCAATCCCCTGTATTGTGTAGTAACAGTAAATGTCGAGTGATCCAGGTGATGTTACAGCTGCCCATCTGAACACTTCAGCACCAGTGAGATCCAGCTCACATCTCCAACTGGTTTTTACATTCTTCTCCTCACTGTTTGTGTAGAAATAACACTGATTCACTGTAACATCTGCTGGCGTCTCACAGCTGATCTTCACTGAGCTGGACTCTCTTATGACATCTGGAGATATTTTTACAGTAGGAGATGCTGAAACAACACGAAACAGATCATTACATCTCATTGACAATGTTTACAAGTACAATAATATTCCAATCACATATTTTGGGTTCTAAATTGTGAAGTCAGCTGCTAATAAAATGTACTATATACAGGAATATTCTATAGTTCAAACAATATGTCAGGTAGGTTGTATTAAAACATCACACGTCACTTGAGAAAAATATTGCTGAAATATTATAGAAAATGAAAATTAGTTCACAAATCAGAATAAGAATCAGAATGAGCTTTATTGCCAGGTATGTTTACACATACGAGGAATTTGTTTTAGTGACAGAAGCTCCACAGTGCAACAGAATGACAGTGACAAGACAGGACACACATAATAAAAAGAATAATATAAAAATATACAAAATAGACAATGTACAAAAAAGCAAAAACACAATATATGTGACAGACTACAGAATTTAATCAACATTAAACAACAAAGATCTCTTACTGTAGGACTGAACCTCCATCAGGAGCTGAATCACTATGAAAACGATCAACTCCATTACAGCGAGTGTGAGAAAAGCGACGACACTCATAAAATAGGTGAATTAGGAAGTAGCACATCAGACCACAGGAAGCCATTTTAATCCATTGTGCAATCAGTTTTGTGAATGTAGATCATGTGACCACATGTACAACTCAAATTCATGTTAACAGAAGGCAGATCTGGGGCACATTTGCGCTCAAACTCATTTACTAAAGACAGAAGGTCGTTTTTTTAAAAAGTAACATTTAAATATGGCAAAAATACTACTAATAGACTTGAAGATAGACTAGATTATGATATCAAATTTAATAATATGGAAATTATTTATCCAGTGGTTACCTTTATTAGGTACGTTTACTCCTTGATGTTTTTGTTCATCTTTTTGACAGAGAATATAAAACAAACAAAACTATGACAATTGCAGTGAAAATATTAACTTTTTGTTAGAACTTGCATGCGCGTGTATATTAAACTAGCTGATTTAAAAAAGTGTAAAAACTATAGAAATTAGATTTAATATGCAGTGAAGAACATAAACAGGTCATCCATGTTTTGAGGAGCACACAGAGGAAGTTAAAAGAGATGTTTCCATCTGGCAGGAGGTGTAGTTCAGCTCTGTGAGAACATCAGCAGAACCTGCAGAGAGACAGACTTTATCATCATATGTTACTATATCATGGAGTTCAGTTTATGCACAACTAAACCTGTACATTGTACTTACTGGTAAAGTGGCACAGACAGATGATTCCTATGAGTCCAGACAGAAATAAAGCCATGAGTCTGTCAAAAGAAAAAATGATTTATGATTTAATCCATCTTATATTACAGTTTATATTAAACTAAGGGAATACATTTAATTGCACAAAATCAGATGCATTATGTGCAGTTTTTTTATTATTACATTTATTTTAAATTAATATGCAACATGATATGATCATGAGAGGAGGACATTTTAAGGTTTGTGTTAGTTTTACAAATATTCATAGAAACTTCACTCAGTTTTTATGGTTGTTGCCAAAGCTTCATCAGTAGAGGTCACTGTTAAGATTTAAAATAGGTTACAACAATGCTACAGTGTTCATTTAGTTTAGAAATAAAATTCTATGTAGTACTGCTATTAATATTACAGCATAATATACACTTCAGCACAAGTGAGCACATGATGAACTGACTTTTATATTCTTCTGTTCTTTGTTTGTGTTGAAATAACTCTAATTCACTGTAACATTCTGCTGGCGTCTCACAGCTGATCTTCACTGAGCTGGACTCTCTTATGACATCTGGAGATACTCTTACAGTATGAGACTCTGAAACAACACAAAACAGATCACTTCACTACATCTCTTAAATGACCATGTTTACAAGCACACCATTTAATAAACAAGGTCCATATTCTGACAGACTTAAATTCATTTGAATAAGACCTTTGTCACAGCTATTCAAATATTCCTTTATATGTATTAAACATCATCATTCCCCTGCAGTTTTCACTATTTGTAATCATTTTGTACTTTGCGTGATTGAATTTTCTATTTACCAATCAAACATAAGGAAATATTCTAGACAATGAAACTTATTCAAAACATGAATACAAATGTGAATATTAGTCTTTCAGCAACAATTAAACATGATAAATAACTTGCTGTAAGACTGAACCTCCACGAGGAGCCGAAAATTTATGAAGATGGAAAAACTCCATTACAGCGAGTGTGAGAAAAGAGACAGAATGAGACTCAAACAATGGGGTACATCAGACCACAGGAAACCTTATAGTGTACTTTTTACGTAGGTGAAAGTGTAGATAATAAGACTGTACTTAATAACATATGCAATTTGACGTGTATCATAAAGCACTAGAATATATGATAAAATTGTTATGATGTTATAATGTTGTTCAGTTAATCTACTGACAATAGTGGTATAACTACTAAAAAGATCTACAGCTATCCAGAACTATCTCTGACTAATAAGTTATATTATAAGTGTTCTGTTTATAATATAATATAATATAATATAATATAATATACAGGAAACAGGCCATCATTTTGCAACTTAATGATAATATATAAACAATAATAAAAAAAAAAACAATTTAAAAGAGATCAGATCCTCTTTAAATGACAGTAAGTTTGAAGAAATAGTTCAAAATAAAAATTTACTGAAAATGTACTCACCCTCAGTCCATCCAAAATGTAGATGAGTTTGTTTCTTCATGGGAAAATATTTGGAGCAATGTAGCATTATATCACTTGATCACCAATGGATCCTCTGCAGTGAATGGGTGCCGTCAGAATGAGAGTCCAAACAGCTGGTAAAAACATCACAATAATCCACACCACTTTACTTTTTAACTTAAAACCGTTGTTTCTGGCCTCCATTCTTCATCCATAAAATTGATTTCTGCAGTGAAAATCCCCCTGCTGGTGTTTTATGATAAGACACATTTCTTTCTGCAACCAAGAAATCAGATCGACTGATCACCATATGCAAAGTTTTCAGTTATTATTGACTGATTAATTTCAGATCATTTTTAATACTAACTTCCAATAACAGCAGTTGTACCAGGAGTTGAGGCTTTGACAACTATCGGTGGAAATAAAGAAAATAAATGTCTAACCACTCATCCTTTAACAACAGTAGATGCTGACAAGAAACTTTTTGAACCTGAATCCCTTCAATGTAATTCAGGTATGTTTTAGTTTAAAAATGAAGGTCACTCACAAGTTCTTGTGGCAGTAGTCAAAGCTTCAACAGTAGAGGTCGCTGTTGAAACTGAAAAGAGATTTCAACAACATCACAAGGTGCATTTAAAATACTTATACACGACCTCATTTCCAGGCCTAGCTATCACAATTTTAAATCAACTACTAGTTTGGAAATACAACAACAACATAATCAGTTCACATGCAGATCAATTCCATTATATAGAGAGTTTTAACATGTATTTTTATTTCATTGTAAATTCATCTAACCAGTGTCACTATTTCAGTTATGTCTTTTAGAGTGTGATTTTAACAATTATACATACAAGAAATGGATAATCGCAGTGGGAATGTTGTGGCATGGTCGTGCATTCTGCATTTAATTCATGCAACATTTGGCTTTTTAGTCTTGCAAGCTGTGGGTCTGCACTCTGCAGAATAAAACAATGACTATAGTCCACACTACATGACACCACAAACAAGTTAGTAACTCAGCTGCTTTACAACAGTGTTAATTGTCCAGTTAGTTTCCATTAGTTTTAAGTCAGAGTTATAAATCAGATTGCATGGTGAATTGGTTAACTCAGTTGTGCTGTTATAGTAATTATAAAGTTAACAATGCAATTATAGGCTTTATGTATAATGGTTAAAGAAAGATGTACACTTACAGTTTATTGAAATTTGAAAGGAGGCAGAAAAAGGGGTCTACCTTATTTCATGGGGAAACTTCACATAAGATATAAAACAAAAGAGATCACTTACCATATGAACCAGTGCTTGAAGTGGGCCGGTACGCACCGGTACACAGTACCGGCACTTCTATATTTTAGCCTTTAGAGTACCTGCACTTTTTTGTGCGTACCGGCACTTCTGACATGTTGCAGGTACTCAGAGTAAAAGCGTCAGGGTCTGGGTGATTATATGATCCCATAATATGATTAGAAAGGACACTATATAAATCACACTACCCAGGCAGGATCACCTCTAATCTCGATTAATCAATCGATTAATCGATTAATCAATCACGTGAATGAATGCAAGTGGTGTGTGGGGCGCGAGAGCATGTCGGGGAGGTGCCCAGAGTAGTAGAATAATAATTAATTATTGATTACTAATTTGAATCAGTACTTTATAACGAAAATAATATCTTAAAATGAAAAGAAGCAGGCTTTTGCGATCACATCATTTTAAACCGGTAAACTCCTGCAAAGTCCAAGGATCCAGTAAACGAATTCAAACAGTAAGTTCAAAACAGCCTAATGCACAGAATAGTGACTTACGTCCAGATGTCAGTCATTATTATTTTCAGCGTGTATTTGGCTTAAATTCATGAATGTTTTATAATGAACGCTGATTATGCGGTGGTCAGAGATTTAGCGACTGTGAATGGATCCGTATAGTACTAAAGGCGGGCGATTTAGTGGTCTTTGGCGTCTCCCTGTGGTCCTGTTTGGTATCGCAGCTTGACTTGTGCTAATTTGTACTGAAAACTTTTATTCAATTATTGATTGATTGATTGTGGCACTATACATACATTGTGAATTATTAAAAAGTTCTTATTTATTTAATATAAATAAATAAATAAATAAGGGGGGGGTCACAATAACTTGAAGTGGAGTGATACAAATGGTGAAAATGTAATAGTTATTTACGTAATGTAAAGCTTTTGTGAAAACGATGTGTTTTTGTTTGAATAACCTTATTTTTGGGGGAAAAAAAGCTTCTTTTGTAATGTTCGAGTAATGGAATAATGTTTGATGACCTTTGGCTTTGACAAAAAGCAACAATGCACAAATACAAGGATGTAATGACTAAAACTATGTGGCTAAAATGTACGTTTTAAATCACAGATTCTCACTGGGCTGAGATACAAAGAAAAGTTTAAGGGAGAAGTGAGAGGCTGGGTATGCATGTGCAGTAGTGTGCCCCACATACTGACCACAAACATACAGTGAAACCACTGAAAATGTCACACAAAACAGTTTTTGTTTGTTTTTTGTATTGCACAGCAGTGATCAAGTTAAAATGTGCATGCCATTAATAGACCAATAATATCTGACATCACTTTTTTCTGGCATTGTTTTTTGTTTTTGATTATTAGAAAAACAAGATAGTTTGATTGAAAGTGAAACATCCACATTCTCTTTTAATGTCAATTAGTTGAATTATTATAATATAATGATATAAACTTAAACTGGCAGAGGATGGTTTGGCATTTGTGCCAGACTGTATAACACATGAGAGTCTGCAGCGACATCAGGGATAGTGCAGTACACGTGGTACAGTTTCATCTGTAGAGCAAAGAAAGTAGATAAATATACAACATGTGAAGAAATAAAAGAGAAGTAAATAAATAAATGTGGTGGTGGCTGTAAATGTTGGAAGGTCTCTGTCACAGGTCTTTATACTCACCCCATTTTCTTC